CAAAATAGTATAACAATCATTTACATATCATTACATTGCATTAGGTATTATAAGTAAGCTAGAGGTGATTTAAAGTGGGGTATATATGTAGGTTATATGCAAATACTATACCATTTTATATGAGACTTGAACATCTGTGGATTTTAATATCTGAGTGGGGTCCAGGAACAATATTGAGGGACTACTGCATATCTCTAATTCCCAAATTGAAAAGTAGGAACCAAATCCCAGAGCAAGTTCCTTAAGCTCTTAGCTTCACTTCCCTCCTCTGTAAGAAGGGAACAGTAATTCCTATCTCAGTGTTATTAGGAAAGACAAATGTGATAATTCATGCAAAGCCCTTGGCCTAGGGCCTGACACATAAAAATAATGTTGTTGTTGATGCTGTTGTTCCTTTATAGGTATTTGGAAGAATAAAAATATTTCATAAGGCATTAGTATGACTCAGAAAAGGCAACATAATTTGTTTTGGATAAGAGCTGCTTGTAGAGCTGTACCATAAATCTTATAATCCTTACACTGTACCAGAGGGGTTGTGAGATACCTAAAAACTTATAACCAAGTGGGCAATAACAGGACATGGTTGTTGTACTCTATAATCTCGATGGCACTGGTAGAATAGGGATAGCCTGTTTAGACATACCTGGGAGAAGGTCATGGTATGAATTGTGGAGCAAGAATTCATAGAATTGTACTGATTTGGTTCAATGAGTCACTGTGGAAAGAACAATAGTACCACCAAGCTGGCAATAACACGTTCTGGACAACTTAGCCAGTGGCTTGTTTTCTGCTCAGCATCTCTGAAGAAGGAGTCATCCTAACCTTCAATGTTTATGAACTGTGCATTGTGCTAGGAACAGTTATGCACCAACATGCTTTACCATCCTGAAACATTTAGGATTTTTTTTTGACCGGGGATCAAACTTAGGACCTTGTGCTTTCGAGGCAGGCGACAGAACCACTGAGCTAAATAAATCCCCAGTCCAACATTTAAGATTTTATAACTGGGATAATTTTTAAGGGATGAGATGGCTTGGGTTTATCACTGAATTTCAAGTCTTTGAATAAGTTCAGTTCACACTTTTTAGTTTTGGCATCATAACGTTTAGCTGATAAAAATTTTTGATGCTTGTTTTGCATTTTTTTTTTTTTTTTTGGCAGGGCCTTAATGAGTTAGAGATGGTGAGCTGGACTTTCTGAGCGAAAGGAGAGCCTGGAGGCAGAAAAAGAAGCAATTGCTCTGAGTGTTGGGAATTTAAGAGTGTAGGTTCTGGGGCCAGACTGCATGGGTCTCAGTCAAGCTCTGCATCTCACTATGTGCGACCCTCAGTGGATCTGAGTTTTCTCATCATGTAAAATGGAGCTGATTAAGGCATCCAGCTCAAAGGGCTCTTGTGAGAATCAGGTGAAAAACAAAATAAAACAAAACAAAACATAAAGCATTCAGCACATGATCTGACACTTAGTAAACATTCAACAAATGTGATTAGGTATCCTGCAGCTACCTGGAAAACCTGTTGGGTTCTTGTCTAAGGGAAAGAAAATATTTCTTAGTGTACACACACACACACACACACACACACACACACACACACACACACAAGTCTGTTTCTGTTGCCCGTGATTTCAAAATAGGTGATGGAAATCTCTCAGTTTTCCTGAAAGCCAGCAGGAAAGAAGGAGATTCCTAGGGGAGTTAGCGTGGCTTTCTGAATCAACCTCAATCTTCCCCATTTGACAGGAACTCAGCCTCCAACAGCAAACCTCACAGACTGACTGCAGCACACTTCCAATCTCCACTGCTCCATCTTTGCCAGAGCAGGTGAGGCACTAGGGGTACTCACTCGTGCAGCAGTAAGTCTTTGAAGTGGATCATCTCCACTATGACCCGGATGTTCTCCTGCGCAGCTGCGCACAGATCATGCTTGAGATAGCATTCCCGTTGCAACTGGAACACCATTTCCTTGATGGCAGGGCACTTCCGGCTTATGCAGCCGAACCTGTGCCGCAGAGCATGGGCTTTACACTTCAAGGCGTCCTTGATGAATGACTTGCCCTGAGGACAGAAGAGGGAGAAGGGGCAGAAGATGAAAGACTTTGTGATATGGTTAGACATCTACCCATTTTTGTTTGTTTCTTTCTTTTTTGACAATACAATCCCAAGTTTCCTTCTGAGACTGACAACCTCCCAGGTGACAGGCTACATCCGTGGTACATTCTGAGGGACATTGATACCTCTAGAAAAGGGGTGTTAGTTCTGTACACTAACAAATCTGCCTCTTTCCTCCGCATCTGTACTTTTAGTTTTCCTTGAGCTGGGCTTCTGTGGCTGTCTGTTCTCAAGTCAGCCCAGTGTTGGCTACTGACAACTTTTCTGGAACCAGTGGAATGGGGCCTTAACTCCTTTGTCATTCTCAGCAAGAGCTCTTCCCCAGTGGAAGATGTCTCTTTGTCCAAATCAAACATTTTTCCTTTTTCCTTCAATTCCAGGGCCACCACAGAGATGGTGTACTCTTGGAACCTCCTCTTTCTGCCAAAGTGCCTCCGATTTGTACTCCTGTCATCTATCCTTCAAGGAGGAACATTCTTTGCCTTTCCAAAAATGACTCTACTCCTTTAAACTGTTAGGATTATTGCCTCTAAAAGGCTTTCCTGGCACCCAGCCTGGCAGCATCTGAGCCTGAGTGCCCAACTGACAGTCCCTCCCCCGCGGTCCTGCTCTGAGGGGCCAAGGCGGCCAAGCATACATCTGGCCTGAAGTTCTCTTTCCTGGCAATCCCATTAGACTGTGCTTATCCTAGAAAGGAGACAGCTGTTGGGGGTGTGGAGGCAGCTTTGCCTTTGCTCCCTTATCAACCTCTCGTGGCCCAGAGGCATTGTGGGATCCCTACCCAGGAATCTTCACACCCTCCATTACTATAGAAATGAGCTCTCCTTGGAAGAGGTCACCCTCTGTTTTTAGACAGGCCCAGAAGTCACTGAGTTGAGAAAGTAAACGGGTTTAGGTTGGAAGTAGGAAGCCAGCCAGTACATTTATTTTGGTTCTCCCTTTAGAAAGCAATCAAAATATCTGCAGATCATGTCCGATGGCTGAAAACCCATGCAGTACAGTCACCTTCCCAGTGCCCCTTCTGTGAACTGTCCAGTAGGAGCAAAATGGGATGGAGGGCAGAGTGTGCCAATTTATTAAGCAGTTCTATGCCAAGAATTGACTTGAAAGGGATGCCTCTAAGTTGAGAACATATTCCTGTTGGTTGAGGGGTGAAAAAGGAAGATTAATTGATGCAAGGACTGTGGCAACCTGTTCTTGCTCTCTTCCCTGACATCCTGTGAGGTTACCCTTCAACACATCTTTCCTCTGGACTTCCTATGACGTTTCCTAATTCCAGTTAATCCAGAAGGGATGCTTTCTTTGAGAGCCTCAAGGAGTTTAAAGTTCTACCTTTTCCCTACCCAGGTCTGTTTTCCCACTTACCACCTCATGTCCTCTAGCCCTCTCTGGTTCCCAGGCATTGCCTTGTCAGGCTCTCTACAGGACATCAGTGGATGGTGACTGTGATGTGCATAAATCACACCCAAACTGTTGGCCTTTCCAAATGCCATCACTCACCAATGAAATGGGACAAAAAATGTATGAGTTATAACAACAGGGTGTTTCAACAGGGCAGATAGGGCCAGGGAGAAAATGAAGGTGAGCCTAATGCCACATGCTATCAAAACATGTATTTGAGCTGTTGGCCCTGGAGCTGTCAGAATGCTAGTTGGGTTCTTGTTCTGCCCTGAGTGGCAACTCAGCTTTACCCTGGGGGCCCAAGGGTGTCTGAAATGGGTCAGGCTCTGACTATATTTATTATATACAGCAAAAGAAAAGTATGGAATTCCAAGACTTATTCAAGGTTTTGACTTTTTAGATTGGGAGAGTAGAGTCTGCTACTCAGAAGGAATAAATTGTCCACTCTTTTGGAGGCCTTGAATTATCTAGATTGCTTGCCTAGATATACACTAGATGACAGATTCTCTATTAGGTGGAATGTGGAAGGGGGAGTCCCTCCCACTTCAGCCTACTGTTCCCAATGCAATGGGCTTTGGGGACTGTGTTCTGGGTGTCCAGACACAATATGTCCTCTTATGATGTCTATAATTGACTATACTTTGAGGAGAAGGAAGCTGGGAGTGGTGACATGTGCCTATAATTGCAGGAGACTAAGGCAGGAGGATTGCAACAAGTTCCAGGCCAGTCTGAACTGCATAGCAAGACCCTGACTCAAAAAATAACAACAACAAAAAAAGTGTAGAAGGGTTTAGTATATACACCATCTCCAGACAGCAGATCATTAATGCCACTGGCATCTTGCTATAGACCAGGAATCTCTTGCAAGCACTAAAATGCCGCAAAGAACAGCCAAGGAAATCTGTTAACAAGTCTTTCCAGGGACCATTTTAATCATGCTATGCCAACCCCAAACCTTCATGCTCTATGTGGTTGTTACCTGGGCATCAAATTTTCCAGCGTTGTGCAGAAAAGTCATGCAAATTCCATGTAAGCCCCGAATCTCACAAGAGTTGTTCTCGAAACATTCAAAAACGCCACACCCTACATCACCTGCGTTGACCAAACAGTGCTGGATCTCCGCTAAAATGAAAATTACATACAAATATATATATATATATATATATATATCTCTCAGCCATGCTGGGGAATGCAGAGAGGTCAGGTGAAATGAGTTAGTAAGGACTAAAGGAAAACTTAAGGGGAAAAAAGTTTGTAATACTATTTCAGGGTCTAAAGAGGCAAGGAAACAAAATCTCATCATTCACTACTACTCAAATAAGTACTGATAATTGCAAATAGTGTATTTGTAAAAATTAATTTAAAATGACAAACATAACCATAAGAAGTTAGGTCTGAGTATCTTCCTCCCATTCTCTCCATTTTATTTAAGCATTTGTGGGAATAGTTTGAGAGCAGGAAATATCTCAGCTTTTTCTGAAGATTGCACCTCATCAGTGAAATACTCGTCTCTACTTGGATCCGGAGAAGCTGCTGCCATTACATCCCAGCCATTTCCTTACTGACCCCCAAATGAGTTCCTCCAAAAAGCAGTTTCAATTCAGCATTATGATTCAACAGCTAAAAATCAAAACAAAATTCCTATTAAGGCAGCGCCTCCAAACTATCCACATTAAAAATACCAGGCAAAGGAAGCTGCGGTTTTCCAGCAGGCTCAAGAGTCAGTCAGATGTGGGATAGCCGTGCAAAACGCCACCGCTAGCCCTGCGAAGTTCCTTTAAATTAGGGTGTGAGATTCACTTAATCCCCTAGAATTCCCGTGGCCCCAGAGCTTGCTGCCTTCCTTCGCAGAATGTGGTTCTCATTCGTCTCTGGAAGGACAGACTGAGGAGGTAACTGTCAGGCTGCCTCGAGCAAAACCTCGCTTCCCCCCCGCCCCCATTCTCTGATTTAAACCGACCATAAAATTACATCAGAAAAGTATATTTTGGAAGATGGGCGGGGTCAGAGTAGAAAATCTGCATTCAGATTAAATCTAGCGAGAGAATGAGGGACGAGTATTTGTCGAGGGTCACCAACTCCGGAGAATCACGGTCAGTTTTCAGAGCAAGCGCCAGAGAGGGGGAAGGGTGGCGAGGGTCCTCGGGAGCGGAGCGCGGCCGCGCGGGTGCGGGACCGGCGCATGGAGGTAAGCTGCTCCGGGTGACCCACGCGCTGCCCCGGCGCGCCGGCAGGACCGAGACTCACTGACTGGGGACGTCCCTTATGGGCATTCGTCCGTTCCGGCTCTGGCTGTGAGCGCACGCACTCTGTGGCCGCAGCGCTCTCGCACGGGCCCCCAAAAGGCCGCGGGGGTTGGGGTGGGCGCAGAACGATGGAGTTGAGCTGTAAGCAGATTTTCTTTCTCTCTTCAGCTCTGGGAAAAAGGCCAGCCCCGTGTCCCGCGCGCCTGGCTCTGCTCCGCATTTTGCCGAGAGCGGAGAGGCGGTTGAGCAGAGGAGGCGCACGGTTCGGGTCGTGTCACCATTTCTTCGCGTGCTGACCTGACCAGAAGCAGAGCACGGCGGCGGCACCATGGAGGTAGGCTTTGCGCCACCCCCTTCCTCTTCCAAAAGTCGTATCCCGCAAAGGGCGAGTACGCGATGCAAGTTGTCTCGCCAGCAAAGTTTTGGGGTGTCGGGCATCTTTTGAGGAGGGGGAGAAGCAGTCCTGCCTAGGCTAGCCGGCTCGGAAGAGGTGGTGCCGGGTGCGGGGGTTGGGCCAGCCAAAGGGTCCCTCAGTGCCTCCCCTGAGTCAGCCGGGATGGAGAAGTGCGCTTGCACGGGGTAACCTGGCAGCGTTGGGCCCTGCCTCATTTCCCCTTAACCCCAGGAGAGGACAGCAACAAGTCCTGCCCCAGCCATTTCATCACCCTGCTAGCACGTGCGGATTCCGGGCGCTCTGAGCCTGGCGCAACCTCGCCTCGCCTCGCCTCGCCTCGTGCTTCCCTACGCACGCCCCGGGCCACACCAAGAGTTCACGGGGCCCCGGATGGGTGCCGGGCTCGGGGCGAAACGCCCGAGGCGCGCTGCGCGGTGCAGTGTTCTCCCAGCCGCTCCTGGCCGCAGGGGCGCGCGCATTTTACCTGTGTTCTGCAGGGACAGGCGGCCTTTCTGCTGGGAGCCCCTGTCCTGGGGACCTTCGGGTGGGTTGGTGGCTTCGGTCCCTCGCGCCGGGTCGAAGGTGGCTAACACCAAAGCCAGGGTCACGAACTGGCCCAGCCGCTCGGCACACATGGTTCTTGGTATAAACCTCCCGCCGGGAGACCTGGATTCTTTGTGCTCCCCTCCTCCTCTTCCTCCTCCGCCGCTTCCCCTCCTCCTCCCACTCTTCCTCTTCGCTCGCCTTTTCCCTCCTCCTCGCAGCCGCGGCTCGGATAGAGGTTACCCAGCGCCCTCCCGTAGCTCTCCAAAGAGCATGTGACCAGGCCGTTAGCAGCGCCGCGAGTGCCGGGCAGTGGCACGGATGGTGCCTCAAATATCCCTGGAAGCTCTGGTGTCACTTGAATGAAGGAGTCGAGCAGGTGTTGTCCCGGAGGCTGGACCAATCCGAGACCCCAGCCCGTTTGACAACATAGCCGGGAGGCGGGGCTTGCGCTCAACTACTACTGGAGGAAGCTGAGCTCCGCTGGGAGCGCCCGACAAAGTTGCAGACCTGGCAGCGGCCACGCTTTCGCGTGCGTCTGTGAGTGTGAGCGCGGCCGGAGATGCGTGCGCGTGTGCGGCTGCTCCAGGGCAATGGCCGAACGCATTTCGAAAAAATTAAAGCAGATCACAGCTCCAGTGGCCGCTAAAGGGGGGGAGGGCAGTCGAGGACAGTCTATGCTGGGACTCCCGGGTCCTGGGCTCGCATCCGGCTGGGAAAGTTTTGTCTTACCACCATTTGGAATTCACTGAAGATTTTAGCCCGGTGGCCTGGATAGATGAGAGCAGTCACCCGGGCACCGTGATAGTGCGGGCCGAAGGAGCACGCTTGGGAATTCTTAGCGAATTGGCGTTCTGCATTAAAAACAAGTAAACAGGGTTGAAGATAGGAGCAGAAGCACTTAATAAAGTATTTGGCCTGAACAACTGCCCCATCTTCTCGCTTTTTTTTAGGTGGGCCCTGTGACACCTGGGATGTTGTGTCTCGCCCTCTCCCACCACAGATGGATTCCGGTCTGGGCTGCAGGGATCCAGGTGACAATCCAGTCTTGCATCATTTCAAGGCGGGTAACGGAGAGGTGCAGGCAGCCCCGAATAAGCCCGCAGCGGAGCCCAGCGTGCTCTGGGTTTAAGGGCAACTTTACGCGTCTCCAAATACACACTTCCATTTTCTCGAGGCGCTACTCTCTGCCCTGCTCTGGATTCCCTTTACTCTTCAATCTCTGAATGGAAGTGAAAAAAACGAGAAAGCAAAATTCGGAGGAATGCTCTCCATCTCTTCTCCTTTCCTGTTGGAGCCCCCTCCCTAAGCACTGCCTGGATTAGATTGTCCCCAGCTGCTTTCTCCCCGGCTGGAGGAAGCGAGGAGAAAGTTGGGCGCCGCTTGGAGCGCCTTTCCTCCTGCTGTGTGTGTACGTGTGCACGCTCACGTCTCCCTCGCTCCGGGGCCGCGGACAGGAATGCTCCTGGCCTTGTCAGCCCGACGGCGCAACTCTGGGGGCTAGCAGGGATGGGGGAGGGCGGCGACGCAAGCGCCGCAACAGCGCCCCCGGGCGCGCACTGAGTGTTGGCACGCCCTCGTCCCTCCCCCGCACTCCCCACCCTCCTGTGGGAGAACAGGTGAGCCCGGGTACCAGCTCTGAAGCCTCACACACCCAGCCCGGCTCGGCGTCCGCGCCCTCAGCAGTAATGTGCCAGGAAGGTTTCATCACCCACCGCCTGCGGGCGACGCAGCCCCGGGCCTCCGCAGCGGGGCGCACTGGCGGGTTTATTGGGGCTGCCATGTGACATGCGTGGGGGAGGGGAGAGGGAGACGCGGGGCAGGTCATCCTTCGGCTGACTGCTCGGCTTCAGCTTTCCGTCCTGAGGCGGAAGCTAGGGGCCAGGTGACCGCCGCTGACTGCGGCTACCTTCTCGGTGGAGCAGACTGCAGATAGGAGGAAGGCAGAGGAAGACCGGGAGGGCGCTTTCAGAGTGCGCTTCCCATGGGCTGGAGTGCCCAGGAGCCGCTGTCCACTGTACCTGCTCAGATTTCAGAGCCCCAGGAAATGATCACTTTGATCTGAGTCTGCAAAAATGGCAAGAAACTGACCACTCATTCCCATGCTTCCGATCGCAGCTCCTGCTGCCGCAGATCTGTTGTGGAAGGCAGACTGGCATCCTCATTGCTCGCCTAGCTTGTTTGAATACTCAACTTAGCTTCCCTTATTCATGAAAACCACCTCCTGCAGATCTTTAAAAGCCAAACAAGCAAACAACACAACAGCACTCTGGCCTATGCCAATTGCTTAAAGTCCCACATTTCCTGGGGTCAAGTGGATGTTTGTTCTCAGTCTTGATTAAAGGTATTAACTGAGTTCTTTCTTTCCATCTGGTCTCTTTTGTGGGTGAGAACATGAAGAGTATTGGCATTAAAAAGGCATCTGGTCCCCCCCCCCCTTTTTGACAAACAGAAATAGGAAATCCAGGGGGCAGGAGCAAGCACCTTTTTGCCTGCTGCAGACACCTAGGCTTCTGCCAGCAACCTGGCAGATGGAGGTGACTGGTACCTGTCTCCTCTCTGCCTGTGTTAGGCTCTGCCCTTGCTACCTGAGGACCTTTGCCTGCTCTCAGAGGACCTATAACTTAAAAATCATCTTGAGGGTATTTGCCTTACAAAGCAATTAGCCAAGGAACACTCATAGTTCTTGGCTGAGTGAACAGCCCCTTTAGAATGAAAAGAGCAGGCAGTAGCTAGAATTTGAGGTGTTGTAAACATGGGCACTTGTTCTTAAAGGTATACCTCTGGACCACTTAGCCAAGGCCAAAGCGTCCAGATGAGTCTGCTCAGTCCAGTCGATCTTATCAGAGCTTTGAGAATTCTGCAGAATCACTGGACTGTTTGCAGGAGCTACTAATCCAGGCTCTAGGCCCAAGGAAGAAGGAGTGCTGGGTGCACAGACTGCTGACTTTGTTGGGATTTCTTCTTCCTACTGATTCCTTTGGCTCTGTCACTCAGCCTGTTTTGGCAGACTGGCTGAGAGTGGGTGAAGAGGGGCAGTAATCATAACACTGTTATAAAGTAACATGAATTGAGAATAGGCCCTGTGTCCCCTGCCAAGTTTGAGACTGTGTTGTCCTAGACCTGAAGTCCACCCTAACTTTGAGTTGTGAGAAGCATGAGGACAGACCGGTTGGTGCTGCCCTGAGGTTAAGCAAAGTCAGGTTGCAGAGTTGGGCCCTCTTTCCATTGAGACCATGTAACTGGAGAGGCAGTCATGGCCCACCATGTAACATTCAGTAGCTTCTGTGGTTGAGTCATGGGGCCCTGTTTCCCCTCTAAATTCACTTCATCAGTTAACTTCAGTCAGCTTGAAGTGGTAAGGTTTTGAAGAGGGGATATTTGGGTGAGATCTTGAAAGATGGAGCAACTGCCACAAAGTTGAGGCAAGTGAAAGAGAGTTGGTGTTGCAGGTGGTAGGGCTGGAAGTAAATGCAGCAGGGGATCAGTGGGATTTGCATCAAGAATAGGGGTTGTCCAGTTGGTGTTAAAGAGATCAATCTGGTGAGTTCGACTGGGGCATGCTGTAGAACTGGGCCATTGTGAAAATTCTTGCTCATCATGAAAGATCTTGCTCTCTCATCCTGAGGGATATTTAAAGATGAGAATGTGGGGTACTCTTTGACTAGATGCTTTTTAGGAATTAGGAAAAGCTTAGGGGCCTATTGCTGACACTGTGGAACAATGGGAAGGAACGAGTTGGAATTTTGATGTGTGTTGCCATGTCCAGCAGGAGAGGCTTTCTTGCTCGGTGTAAGCAGGTGGAGCCTTAAAGAATTGGATGAGTTCTTGTCTGTGGGGCAATGTCTGTAACTTGACACATGCTGTCTAGTCCAGGCTTTCTGAGTTCTAAAAACCTGGGTGGAGAACATGGCTTAGTCCTAGGGAGCTCCGCCCACCGCCCGCCGGCCCACTTGAACTGACTGCCTGGGCTGATGGCGCCACCTTATGGTCAGAGGGGGAACTGAATGACCAAACAGCTTATCTGGTTCAAGGGCCTGGGCACTAGTATTGAGTCACTTTCTTTTTCCTTAGTTTCCTTACTTTTTCCTTAACAAGTTAGTTAATACTGATTTAGGCGATCTTCTCATAATGATTACTTTAATTCTCTCCATCAAAGAAATTGCTCTCAAGCTTATTTTCCCTCTTCCTGCTCCATCCTTTGCTGTCTTTGTGAGCCCCAAATCTACCCTAATCATGGCTCCTATGTATCCTGCCCACAGGAAGGAAAATGACAGATTATTGTAGTGAAACTGGACATTCAAAACTACAAATTGCTGTTGTCAGGCCTATGAAATTCTTGCAAGCAGAGGTCTCTCCCTAAAACAATATCTATAGTTCTTCTAATCTAATTAACTTGATTATTTCATTCAATAGAATTCAAGATAAAGCAGACCATGTCTTTAATGTTTGTGTTTATTAGTAATACTACAAAATTATTTTCTACTAATTTTCTCTCTAAAAACACACAACTTCAACAACATTATAAATTAAGAAGGCTTTTGTTGGGCTGGCCTGGAAACCTAAAATTTATTTTTAGCTGGATATAGTTGCATGTGCCTTTAGGTCCCAACTACTTGGGAGGCTGAAAAAGGAGGACTGCTTGGGCCCATGAGTTTGAGGTCAGCTTGGGCAACATAGTGAGACCCTGATCACAAAATACATAGACCACACATTTATATGTACATATTTATTTTTTGGAGAAAAATATATTTTGAACTCCTAAAACAATCAACTCTCAAAGCATTGAAACATAACACATTTGTGAATTGGGCATTTCCTCTATGTTATTGATCAATAGTCAAAATGTTCATGGATTGACTGTAAGTACAAATGATAAAAAGGAATTTTTAAAAGCCTAGGAGGGGGCTGGGGATTTAGCTCAGTGGTTTTGCTGCCTGCTGTGCAAGCTCAAGGACCTGAGTTCAATCCTCAGTACCAAAAAAAAAAAAAAGCCTAAGAGAACAGGAGCACTGTATCCCTCACAATAAATCCATTTACTGGAAAGAATATAAGGCAGTAAACATTGGATGTCTGTTTGTGACCTGAACATTGTTAGTGCTTTGTTTTGAAGCTTGCATTTTCTCAGAAGCCCCTCTATTTTCTTTGGGTCATAATTTCTGCTTTCTCATTGTTTGCTGAGACAAACTCCAGGAGAAACTATCCCAAGGAATGAGTTGCCTGGGTTCCACCAAGGGAGCTGGTTGAGCCTAGAGGTCAGCATTGTCGTGGTGGATACTAAGGAGCTTTCCCTGGCTAGGTTTCAACTTTGTTCTGAGAAATGTTAGATTTCAGGTGGGTGAAGAAGCAGTCTTTTTTTTTTTTTTTTTACGAGAGTTTCTAATGAAGTAGGTTTTGAAAGTCTTTGGTAAATGGCCAAATCCATTAATGCAATTTAACCCTCAATATTTGATCAGTTTTACATTTAGATTGAGTTTTTTTTCCTGAGAAGTTCTGTTTGTAAGGACTGCTATTTCATGACTTTTATTCATTTTTAGGAGTATTTCTAAGACCAAAGAGCACATTTCAAGCAAAAGTTGAATAAAGCTCATTCTATGTTGAAATAACCACATAGCACCTTGGGAACCATTTATAAGTCTATGGGTGGGTGTATGGGTAAGTCATAGGAACTTAGTGATTTTAATTTTCTTATATATTGAAAAATTTCAATTTAGTCACCCTAATAAATACTTTATTATTACTCATCAGTTATTCCCAATTATGGTAAAAATCACTGAAAAAGAAGGAAGTGGAAGAATGATGGAATCACCTATAAGGATGATGCAATAATGAAACTAATCATCACTACTGCATCATCCCCCGATTTTTAAAAATTACATTGTCTAAAGTGTTACACCATCTCTCAAGAAGGCATAAAAGAAGACAATGGGGAGAAACAACCTCAGGTACATTCAGCCAAAAACATAAGCTGGAGGAAAGATATCCTCTTTCACAAATGGTGCTGGGAAACTGGCTATCCACATGCAGAAGATTGAAGCTAGGCCCATATCTCTCACCACATACTAAACTAAAATCAAAATGGATCAAAGATCTAAGTAATAAAGCAGAAACAATTTACTGGAAGATAAAACAGGTAAAACTTTTGAAGACAGGTGTAGGCAAAGACTTTCTGAATGGAACCACATTCTTATGTTGCATAAGAAATAACATGAAGCATCAACAAATGGGATTATATCAAATTAAAAAGCTTACGTACAGCCAACAAAACACTCAACAGAGTGAAGAGACAACTTACAGAATGGGAAAATATTTTTGCTAGCTACTCCTCGTACAGAGGACTAATATTAGAATGTATAAAGAATTCAGAAATGATAACCACAAAATAAAAGACTCTATCAATCAACAAAGGGGCAACTGAAATGAATAGACACTTCTCAGAAGTACAAATGACCAGTAAATACTTGAAAAAACGTTCAACATCTCTAGCCATAAAAGAATGCAAATTAAAACAACACTGACATTCTATGTTACTCCAGACAGAATGACTAACACCAAGAAATCAAGTAAAGGGCCAGGGATTTAGCTCAGTGGTTTCACCACCTGCTGTGCAAGCGCAGGGACCCGAGTTTGATCCCAGGTACAAAAAAAAAAAAAAAAAAAAATTAAAAAGAAATCAGGTAAAAACAAATGCTGGCAAGGATGTGGGGGAAAAGGAAACTTCAGCATTGTTAGTAGAAATGTAAATTAGTATAATCACTATAGAAATCAGTATGGAGATTCCTCAAAAAACTAAAAATAGAAATTCCATTTGACCCAGATATCTCCATTCACAACCTTCTCAAAAGAGTTAGAGACATCATGTTACAAGGATACATGCACACCCATGTTTATTGTAGCACAACTCATAATAGCTAAATCTTGGAAGCAGCCTATATGTACATCAACTGATGAATGGTTAAAGAAAATATGTTATTTATATACAATGGAGTACTATAGTGCTATAAAAAAGGACAAATTGGAGTCATTTGTGGGAAAATCAATGCACCTTGAGATGATAGTGTTACATGAAATAAATCAGGTATACAAGCTTAAATATGTTGCGGTTTCTCTTATATGAGAAGCCCAAAGTATAAATAAATTAAAGAGCAAAATAAAAGATGGATAATAGGAAACTGGGAGATAAATCTTTTGCAAATGGGAAGGGGACCAAGACCTGGAGGGAGGAGGGAGGCCTGGGAGGAGAAGAGAATGTAAAAAGATTAAGATGTGTTATGCACATGCACCAACTTCCCACGATGAATGTACGTAATCATTATGTAGTGTAAACATGTGCTAATAAAAATAAATTTTAAAAAAGACACCATCTCTTTAGTCTTCTTCTTACAATTACCATTTTTTCAAATTTGGACATGTATTTTATTTAATTTTATTATTTCTTTAATTGCTACATAAAACTGTACATGTTTATGACATACTATTTTTGCTTTTGATGAATACAGTTTTGAATACAGAATTTTTTATTTTTTGCACAAAATTGTAAAGAGAAGAAAATTGACAGAGGGAAACACAATTGTTGGACAAATCAGATGACCCCTACAAAGAGACAGCAGCGTTTTATACTCTGATGATGGTGGGGAAATTGAGTATATAAGGAAAATTTCAGCCATGTGTCTTACATAACAGTAATTTAGATGAATGTTCTCAAATTTAAGAATCTATGAGTAAATGATGTATTTCTAAGGACAGAAAGAAAACATGATATTCTCATCAAGTTAGTCATTTGATAGGAATGATTTCATCATGTAATATTTTGCAACATGAACCTGGAGTATTCTGTCTCTCTAGAAGAATGTGGGCCAATAGTATTCTTTTTAATTTTTGTGATATTTGCTCTCTCAAAATTTTTTGATACAATTTAAAATGAACAAATGAGGAAGTCAGATCAAAGGTGATTACAAGGGTGATTGAAAAAAAAATAGGTGATATAGAAATGAAAGAAAAACATCATGACTAATTGTTCTGATGGCTGTTTATAAATATAAAAATAAAAGTGCTTTGTAAATGTGGAGCAAAGACAATGACCATCTTCTCTGACACAAAATTATGAGCTGTCAGAGGTTTCAGAAGCAATGTGTTTTATGCTGTAAGTGTATGAAAAACCAGAAGCAATGATAAGCTAGAACTTAGAGATTTACTTGAAATCTGAGATCAGTATTTAAAAAGTGGATCTGCCCCAGGTTCACACACAATGTCTGGTGATCAATTAGTTGAGGAATTTGGCTCATTTTGGGTTTATATACTTTCAAAACCAAGAAAACACACAGTGAAATTTTGTAATTTAAATTATTAAATTTTCTAATAAACTTAAATGCTTTTAGTCTCATTAGAATAGATTATTCATAAAAATAAAAAGGATCCATTGGACCCTGATGGCAAAGGATGACAGCAACTTTTCCCTTAGTACACTGTGGGGGTTAAGGTTGTAGAAACAAATATTAAAACGACTCCTTCAGCAAGTAGGAGCCACTTTGTGTAGATGGTCAGTTTTACCATCCATCCTCAACTCACTTCTCACACACAGTCACTTGACTCCCACGTTGGTCCATTTCAGACTGTATCAAATAATCATCAGTCTGAGGATTATTTTAAAGTAGAAGCTTGAATGAGAGGCATCATGAAATAGCCTGTTTATTCTCCCCTCTACTGTAACCCAGTGCTTCTCAAACTCCCGTGAGTGTAAGAATTACTGCACAAAATTAAGTACACATGGCATGAGTACTATATCTTAAAGGGTAGTTTACAGAGTTTAAAAAAATTTTATTTTACTTTTTATGATGCTGGGAATGGAACCCAGGATCTTGTGCATACTAGGCAAGTGCTGTACCACTGAGCTGCATCCTTAATCTCCACAGGATTTTAAAGATTTTGACCACTCAAGGTTTTTACTTTGACAATTTTAGAACTTCGCTTCCTCTGACATTCATTCAGATGAGATGGGGCACATTCAGGAGGGCATGGGTGTAGATTCTGACATTCGTTCGTTTGACAAACTCATGCATATCTGTATACTAGACCTGGTGTTGCAGTATGAGCAAAGGGAAGATAGGTACTATCACTGCCCTTATTGAGGTAGTAATCAGAGGGGAGGAAACAGTAATTTTTTATAGCACCATGTGGTAGAAATTATGGTAGACAAGAACCAGGAGGGTGGTGGAGGGACTTGTGAGAAGTGTTGAAGATGAAAAAGTTGAGTTTTTAACATTCACTTGAAAAAACCAAAATTGGATCTTGAAGGATGGTTAGGAGGCTCTGAGAGGTTGGAAAAAGTGAAGAATCCAGGCAGTTGGACCAACATACACGGAGTCCCAGAGGAACAAGAGACCAGCCAGGTTGAAAAGCTGGGTGGTTTCCTGTGGCTGGGAAGGGTAGTGTTCAAGATGAAGTGGACTCAGGTTGGATCTCTAGGGCCTGCTGTCTGCCTTCATCCACAGGTACAGCCAGCATCGTTTACTCAACAGTGGAGACACATTCTGAGAAATACCATTTTAGGCGGCTTTATCACTGTGTGATATCAGAGTGTGCTTACACACTAAGCTGCTGTGTTGTCACTAGATGATATGATTTTATGGGCCCACAGTATAATAGATGTGATTCATTTTAGATCAAAACATTTTTACTCAGTGCATGGCTGTGACAGAGAGTCCAGTGCAAAAGTCTTAATAATTATTATTAATTATTAATTATTATTCCCCCCCTCCCTGGACATCCTGAGGATGTGGCACAGTGTGGATACTACGGATGGATGGGAGGGAGAGACATTGAGGCAGGGACACCTCAAGAAATCATGTGGCAATTTGGAGATGGCAAAGAAGAGGTGATTTTGGGAATCTTGTAGGGTCAGACTGGCAAAATCTCTGACTTTTGCATATGAGGGGAAAGTGGGGATCATGATGAAAGTGTAGGCTTCTCTTTTAGCCCCCTCTTTGTGGCTTTCTCTTGTATTCCTCCTAACAATGCTGTCCCTCATGCTTCTCTGGCAGAAATCCACCGTCATCTTTGATATTCTCCTTTCCTTTGCACTTCTGCAGGAAACTTGTCACCGACTCCCATTTCTGACTCCAGAGCACATGTCCATTCCATTCACTTCTCACTTTTTCCACCCTCTGGCCTCAGACAGCTCTATACTGCTGCAGAACTGACCAACTGGTCTCCTGCTTCATTTCTGCCCACCACCCTCTCCATCCCAATTCTCTGCACAGCCACAAGCAAACATCTCCTACCTCCAAAATCATACCAGTTGGTTGCTTAACTCCAGAGACTCCTTAGAATCAAGTCCACACTCCTGACCACAGACTGACCACGGACTGGAAGGCTGTGCCAGATCTGGCCCTGCAGGTTTCACAGATCTCTTATGCATTCCTTTCCAGCACCTTCTTTCCACACTGCAAGTAGGCCAAACACTTTCCTTAGGTCCTTAGTGCAGGCTGTTCCTGTAAGACAGGGGCCTTTATTACTTTTTTGCTTTGTTGTTTTATTCCCTCTCCTACCCCAAGTGAACTATAAGCTCCCTGGTGTAGGGAAGATTGCCTGCCATATTCAACGTCCCATCCCTAGCACCTACTACAATGCCTGACATAGTAAATTAAAGGTGTGTGTGTGCGTCCATTGGTTAACAAAATGCCTCATAATTCCATTAGCAGAATTGGGACTTACAGAGAGGGTGGGGGAGGGGAGGTGGTTATATAAAGGGTTAGTGGCATATAGGTGGATATCTGGTGGGCAAGTCACTCACTATCGTCCCAACTCTTGTAGCACTTCCTGATCCCTTAGTGCTTTCTGCCTCTCTGCCACCTCAAGTCCAGAGAGTGTTATCTGGAGTTCATTTAGCTGAAAGATTCCAAGTTCGGATTTGAGCCTGGATATTCAAATCCCTAGATCTTTGTATTTTCTTGTAGTTCTAAAAGTCATAATCCACATCTCCATGCTTACCGGTGGACAATCAGGATTATGGATCATGTTGAAAGCCAACATGTTCCTTTTGATGCTGATCAAAGTGAACTTAGTTTACAGATGATTTAAAAAACTTATTATTTTTGTTTTCTTCCTAAGATCTTAAAATCCTTAAGAGAAAAAACGGGCCGGGGATCTAGCTCAGTGGTTTCACCGCCTGCCTCTCAAACGGAAGGACCCGAGTTCGATTACCGGTACCAGAAAAAAAAAAAGTTAAGAAAGAGAAAAAACTTTGAGAAAGAAAAATATGCTTAAAAGTAAGGCTTCAGAGGAAAGAAATAGGAGCAAAGTTAAGGTTACTATTTAAAAGAAAGCCAAAGAATATTCTTACATTCTTGTGTTTTTGGGTGTTTTTGGAAGGCTACCATCACCAACAAAAAATGTGGGCAACAAGATAAATTAGCACACAATTAAGGGTAGAGGGCTGATAAATGATAAGGAGGCAAAAACAGGCTCCTGAGAGATGGCAGAAGAAAGGGGGGGGCTGTCCACAGGGGTGGTTAGTAAGCAGCATGTGATATCATCAATGTTACCAACAATATAGTGATCCCTGCAGGCCCAGCAAGTCGTGGGTATTTAGTGGCTAGGGAAAAGAGGCAAGTATTGAACCCTTGATCTCCATTTCTTAATGGCAGCCATATAGGGAAATGTTTCAGGGCAAGGAGAAACAATCTGTGGAGTGTGGGGCTAGCTTACAGCTGCACTGTGGATAAGGTAGGGGCTTTGGATTTAGACACCCAGTTTTCAAGTCTAACATTGATTAACTGTGTGATCATGGCTGTTGTAGTTAGTTCTTCATTGCTGGGACAAAATACCTGACACCTACTAGTCAAAGGAGAAAAGGTTTATTTTAGCTCAGTTTGTAGAGGTTTTGGTCCTAAGGCAGGATAGCATGGCAGAGAGGCATGGCAGAAGAGAACAGTCCATGGCAAGCAGGAGGCAGCAAGCAGTGAGCTTGCCTTCTTTTTATTCCTTTATATCCAAGCTACAAGCCTATTGATTGGTGCCACTGGTGGGTCTCCTGTTTTCAGTAAATACATTCAGCCACACCCAGAACTATGCTGATCCAATCAGTTGGGTATTTCTTATTCAAGTTGACACAATCAGTGGAGTATTACAATGGTCAAGTTACTTCACCTCTCTGAGCTTTAATCTGCTCAACATAAGCACAGGAATAATAGTATATATTTTGTAGGGTTATTATAGGGTTTAATGGTATCAGGTGTTAAAATGTTTTTGTTCTGTGCTTGACACCTGGCAGGCACCAAATAGGCATTGTTTTCCTTCATGATTAAAGCAGGGATTAAATGGTTGTGACCATTTTCTGATGGGCATCTGAGTCTAAATAAGAATTGTGACCTTTTGTGGCTTTAGGCACTGCGGTCAAGTCCTGAGGAAGTAGAGTTAGTGAGCTGCAGTCTCCCCTGCCTCTGGGTTGGGTGTCTCCATTAGAGGGGGAGTTAGGGGTGGGTTTCATTGGTGAGGGAGCTGATTGGGTTGTAGCTGGATACGTTTTTATTTGCAGATTTCTGTGTGCAGTAACTTACCACATTTGCTTTTTTAAAATGCCGTAATGGGCTGCCATAGTAGAAAGACAAAAATCTTTCATTTGTATGTGTGTGTCGTCCAAATGATATTTTTAAAGATTTATTTTTGTGTGTTCACAATGTTCTTGAATAATGTTTCCGTAATTATGGTCAAAGATAAAACTCGCACGGTGCACAAAATCTGGTCATGCATATTTTAGAGTGTGATTGTCTTTTGACCAGCCTCGGGATCTATTTGCCAAGTTCTTTGCCATCTCATATTTCCTTAGGAGGACTTGCTTGCGTTGGCTCACTGAGCAGGAAACTTCTAAACACAGGACAAGGTAAAGGTGATCTCCCTGCTGGGGAGATCTTTCCACTTTCCCTGCAACAACATGGCTCGCTAGCTAGACTAGGGAGGACAGATACTCATGTTTTAGCCTTTTATTCAACCAGTATCTGATGAGTGTCTTCAATGTCCCAGGCACTATGCTGGTCTGTGGGAGGACACTTGGGGGAATAAAATAAGCAAGCCAGCTGGTCTTGTGCAGCAAGTCAGGTAACAAGACAAGGGAAACCGGACAGCTAGAGTAGTCAGACAAGGCCCCCTTGAACTGAGATCATTTCTATAGAAACCTGAATGAAAAAAAAAAGCCACCCAGCTAGAAGCAGTACAAATGCAAAGGCCCTGAGACAGATTAGAGCAACCTTGGTTCATAGCACTGCAGGATGTTTGGTGTGGTTGCAATCCAGTGAATGATATGAGGCATGGCAAGAGAGGAATGATTTGAGGTAAGGGTAAAGGCCAGGGTGAGGATTATGGATTTCAATGTAAAATGTGATGGAACTCTTGAGTGCTATAGGAATTATGTTGGAGGAGGGATTGAAGGAAGGCATGCTAGACAGAAAGAATACTTGGGCAAAGGTGGAACAGGAGGCCAGCATGGGGCTAATGGAGAACATGGCTTGTGCTGCTTAACACATTATGTTTCACATCTCTGCTCCTCTTTGGGGCTCTACTGTTTTTGTGTTTTGGGGGTCACATGGTACAAAATCATCCTCTTAACTCTGTTGTTGGGGACCTCTGCTGTTTAGAGCCAGCCTGGCATAAGCTGGAGTCCTGTGGTTCTAATTCAAAATTCTTAATAGTTTCTGGTTGCAGAGAGAGGGTCTGATTGGCCAAGATCCCCACTTTAATCTTTTGTGGGAAGGGGAAGGGTTGTGAATTGGGAACTTGTCAGCTTGTGTCTACCCTGCAACCTAGTAGGTAGGGTGGGGACAGTGATGTCATAATGGAACCTCAGGGTAAAACAAGAGATTGAAAAGCTTCCCAAGGCGCCAACCTTCAAGATTTAAAGGGAAGTAGGGCTGATTTAGCTCTGTTCTGGTTCTGTTTCTGCTCAGCATTCTCAGGTCTAAGATTCCTGGGTTGGCTTCTGAGAGGGAGGAGACAGCCACCACAGCAAGAACAGCACCAGGAGTTTTAGATTAAAAATGGAAAGCAGAGAGTAGGTGAGTGCCTGCCTGGAGAGTGACCCTCAGTCAGGCCTGGTCAGGTATAGTGAGGGCCTTCATGCCAGTTCAGAAGCCTTGCCACGAGCTTGGGGCACACAGGCAGCACAGAAAACGCATGGCTTGTGAATGTCCCTCACAAAGCTCTTGCACCTTTAGAAGTGCAGTTCTCTGGTGATTTTCACTGCCACAAGAAGGTCCTTAGGGACCTGAAGTAACTTCTCAGGATCCAGGGGGTGAGATAAGAGCAAAAGGAATGTTTCTGAGTTCCCTCCTGTCATTCAAATCTCCTGAGCTCCCCTTTCCTCTGCCCTCCTGCTTCTCTGAGTCTGCCTCCTTCTCTTATGCACTCTTTTGCTCCATTCTTCTATAGTTTCTACTAGTGTAGACCTGTTCTTTCCAATAAGCAAACTGTGAACTTTCCAAGTCAAGGAGAACTTGAGAGCTCTCTTTGTGTGACTCTCTCAGCCATGGATAAGACAAAGACTCTTAGCAAATATTTGTCCATTGAATCAAATTGACTTGTGATTCTGATCTGTTCTCAGTGGACAGAAGGTCAATGGGATGAGTCTACATTTATGCAACTGATATCAGAACCATCCATTCATCAGTCATTTTTTACCACTTTTGTAGTTTTGACCATGCTTGCATTCTACTAAGACAATGACTTACTTTCTACTTTCCCTCAAATGGCTTTTTTTTTCCACTTAGAAAATTATTCTAGCAGGAAACTTTATACCGTGACCACACATGAAATCCAGTATCCCTTCCCATAAATAGAAGATGATTGTGAAATTAAATCCAAAACTCTTAAATAGAAAGCATATGTCCAGTGCCCCCTGAATCATCTTCAGGGCTCCAATAAAACATACATCCCACTCCAGGGAACTCTGATTTGTATCACCAGTGAGGGTGCATTTATAAGAATAACAACCATTTCTGGCAAACTTCTGTATCTTGGGCAACTTTCCATTCTGTGAACTGTAGGCAAGGTGGCCAGGGGCTGTACCGAGGAGGAAGTGTGGGTGACCATCAAAGAGCCAGTGGAAAACCAAGGCTTGGTTTTTGAGCCTTACTTCTGCTCTTCTGCCTGTCCTCTCAGACTTGCTCTTTCAGCTCTTGTCCTGAAAGCAGCTGTCAAGAAGGCAACTGGGTGGAAGGAACAGGGAGGGCTGGAGAAAGCTGGCCAGTTGGCTGAAGGGGAGAGAGCAGGACTGGAGTCAGGACCTGGCAGAGAAAGACTGGTAGGGGATGTGGGCACCTTGTGTGGCAATGAGGTGAGCTCAGGAAGAGAAGATGGCTGAGTGTATTTGTCTACTGAGCTGTAAGGAGCTGACCTGCTGAACAGGTACCAAAGCTACATTTCCGTTCTAGGTCACAGTGGGTGATTTTTCTATACAATGAAAGATTTTAAGTATAGAAGGCAAAGTACAATGCAAAAGCCAGATGATTATTATTAAGGTAAAGATTCTCTCTTTTCCTGCCTCCTTCCTCCCACTCCTTCTTTCTCTCTGTTGGCCGTTTGGATTTGGCTTAATTAACAGTTCAGGTTTGAGTAGCTTAAGAGATCAAATGACACAGTGGATCATCAATAAACCTCCAAATTCCAAATCTGTTAAATCTTAGAACTTGTAAGAGGCACTGCTGTGAAACATTGTTTGGTCTGTTTTCTGCCCTTGTAACAAAATACTTGAGGCTGGGTACTTTATATAATGAGAAAGGTTTATTTAGCTCAGAGATCTGGAGATTCAAGGGCATGGTGTTGGCATCTTCTTGGGCCAGGTGAGGGCTACCCTGATTATATCGCAATGACAGAGAGAGAGAGAGAGAGAGAGAGAGAGAGAGAGAGAGAGAGAGAGAGAGAGATCATGTGGTGAGACAGGAAACCAGAGAGATTGAGAAGCCAGGCTTGCTCTTTTTATAAACAACCTTCTCCTGCAGGAATTAACTGGGGTCCCATAAGAACTACATTATTCCATCTGAGGATGGCAACCCCAGTGACCTAATGACCTTTCAGTAAGCTGCATCTCTTAAAGGTTCCACCATCTCAACATAAACATCCCAGGGCCCAGCTTCCAGCACATGAGCCTGTGGAACTCGCTCAAACCGTGTCCTAAGCACAGCAAATGGCCCTTCCAAGCCTCTTGGCTGAGCTTTTCCAGCATTTTGGGCATCCTCAGTATCTGAACATAACCTGGCAGAGAACCTGACTGGCAAGTGACCCGGTAGCTCCTCACACACCCTTTGCATTGCTCATGTTGCTGATACCTAAAGTTGCAACCCTTTTCCTCTGGACCCTAGGTCTTGGGCTCCTGCAAAGACACCATCCAGACCAGAGACCAGTCTTTGCAAGGATGTTGGAACCAGGGTGCCTGATTGAGGGTCTGGAGAAGGTGTCACATTCTCCTGTCCTCAGGGTGATCAAGGCTGATTTGCTTCTAAGTAGGCACACCAGGCACCCTGTAGATACTTGGGCCTGTGTTTGAGTCCTGAACTTATCTCCTTGCTTTCCAATTTCATACGTGCCATTTAGCCTCTCTTGCCTACCTTGACAGTCTAATCTGAATTCTAGCTTTGCCATTTGGTAATTGTGTAACTTTGGGCAAGTTATTAACCTCTCTCTTCCTCAGTTTCTCTCATTGTAAAATGATGATAATTCTACTACCCACCTCTTAGGGTGGTTGTGCAATAGCAGACTGAACACATGTTAGTGTGTGGAGTCCCAGCAGCCATGTGTGGTGTGCATAGTCCATAGATGTGGGAATTACCAGCATCATCTGAGGCTGCTGTTCCATTCCCCCTTTTGCACTAGGGAGGAGTCTGAAGTTGGGAATTCTGTCTGAAGTTGGGAATTCTGTCTGGGAGCACCTGCTCCTCCTGACACTGCTCCCAGACTCACTGCCTCACTGACCTGGACCCTGGGTCTCTTGTGTCCTGGCTGTGTGTGCATCGTCTAATTTGCATATGCTTCTCCTACTCCTCTAATTGTTTTTTTTTGGTACTGGGTATCCAAACTCAGGTCCTTGTGCTTGCGTAACAGGTGGCGAAACTGCTGAGCTAAATCCCCAGCCCCTCCTCTAATTTTTTTTAAATTAGAAATTCTTCCTCCTTTCCAGCTGCACCCTGTACTTGTTAACCATCCTCTTTCCCTCTCCCTCCAGTAATCACTATTCTGCTCTCTACTTTTATAAGGTTAACTTTTTACGGTTCTACACAGAAGCGAGAGCATGTGGTATTTGTCTTTCTATGCCTGGCTTATTTCATTTAATGTCCCCTACTTCTATCCATGTCATCACAAGTGACAACATTTCATTTTTTTTTTATGGCTGGATAATGTTACACCACATTTTCTTTATCTGTTCATCCACTGTCAACGAATGTTTCCGTAACTTAGATATTGTGAACAGTCCCATGACAAACGTGGCCATATTGATGTCTCTGACATACTGACTTCATTTCCTTTGGATGTGTACGAAGTCGCTCCCATGCTGGTAACCCTCTCATGTAACAGGGATCCCCCCAGTCCTCCTCAGCCCCAGTGGTCATGGAAGTTACCCTTCCTCCCAACTTATGCTGTCTTCATCCCTGTTATGGGATCCTCTGTTCTCAGTCATCCCTGCATGCCTGTCCCCCATCTACTGTGTCCAGGGACTTCTACTCAAGTCCAGTTCAAATTCACCTATCCTCTCCCAGGGTTGGAGGCACCTCAAGACCCTAGAGGGGTTGATTCCATGTGTTTCTGCCTTGGCCCCTCTTCTTGGCCACGTCTCCTGCCCAACTGTAACCTTTTCTCTGAGGTTTCCTCACATGTAAGAGAATCCCTGAGGGGCAGCTCATTTCTGTTCCCGGGCTCACTGCCTGTCCTGTGGTCACCTGTTAGTTCTTTAACCTTTTCAGTCTCTTCTTTGGTGACTGTAAGTTTCTAAGACATCAGTGCTTTTCTCTCTATCCCTTATGCGCAAATTGTCTACCTAATCCCCTGCTCTGATCTAAGTCTGGTTATGTGTCCCCAAAGGTCTCAGTCAGCATACCCTCAAAACTTTGAGGACCAACCTCCTCATCCTGCCGTCAGGTTGGCTCCTCTTTCTAATTGTCTCACATTGGCCGACAGGGTCCTTCTCCTAGCTCAGTCTCTCAACTGGGCTAGCTCGGCTTCTTCCTGGCTTCATCTTCCACCTGCCTCTTCAGCTATCCATCCTTCTGGCTCCATCCCTGTCTTTCTCCCACCCCCAGCCTAGGCTCTGGTCTTTTCCTCCTAATCCTATAGCTGCTTTCTCCATGATCTGTTCTTTTCAGTCTACCCTTATACTCCTGCCAGATTGTGTTATTGCCTGTCTCACAGGGAAACTTTAACAACTCCCAGAGGCCAGTTCAGCCATAGACCTCTTAGCAGGGAGCCCAGAGTCTTCCCCGAACTGACTCCCATACAGTGGCTCCCCACCCTGGCCCCTTCAACATCCCACCCACCTTTCCCTCTTCTGCCTGACCCACACCTTCTTAGTCTGCCTTTTTCTGCTCCTTGTCGGATGGCTCCTGGATGGTTAGTTTTATGTCAACTTGCCTGGATTATTTACACAGCTCTCTCATCAGACACTAATGTAGGGTTGCTTTTGAGGTATTTTATAGATGGGTTACCATCTGTGATCAGTTGACATTAAGCAAAGACAATGACCCTCAGTCCTGTGGGTGGGCCCCATCCATTCAACTGAAGGTCTTAAGAGCAAAACTGAGGTCTCCTGGAGAAGAAATTCCACCTTAAGACTGCAGCATCAGCTTCTGCCTGAGTGTCCAGTCGGCTGGCCCATCCTAAGAGTTCAGACTTGCCAGCCACACAGTTGCATGAGGCAATTCCTTATGAGAAATCTCTGTCTCTTTTGGGATCTATGTCCCAACTGCAGATTCAACCAACTGCAGATAAAAAATATTTGAAAAAAGTGTGCCTGTGCTGAACATGTACCAACTTTATTCCTGGTCATTAATTTCTAAATAATACAGTATAATGACTATTTACATGGCATTTACATTGTATTAGGGATTATAAGTAATCTAGAGATGATTTAAAATATATAGAAGGATGTAAATAGGTTTTATGCAAATACTATGTCATTTTATATAAGGGACTTGAGCATCTGTGGATTTTGGAATCCATAGAGGTTCCGGGAACTGATCCCTCATGGATACTGAGGGATGACTGTATTTAGACACACACACGTGCGCGCGCGCGCACACACACACACACACACACACGCACACATCCTACTGGTGCTGATTCTCTGAGAATCCTAACTCACATACCTCCTTGAGTGCTTGTCTCAAGTGTCACCTTCTGGTATCCAGCCTCCAGGAGCTTGGCTTTCTTCCCTATTCCCATTCCATAGGCTGTCAGGAGGCCTCCTTCAGCCCTCCTCCTGTAGTGCTGTGGGATTACATAGCTTTACAGTGCACTACCTGATTTTGTTTTTGGGGACAGGTACCCATTTTGAACTTCTTTAGATCCTCTTTAGCTCCCAGGAGAAATGAGAACATCCTAGGTGATTACCAAATATTTGCTAAGTGAATGCATGGGGACTGGTGGTAGACTGAGGGATGTTGGCTCTAAGCTGATCAGAAACACTATCCTGCATTTTCAGGGGAGAGTCAAGGGTATATAACCAAAGGCCAGACTTTGGTCTACAATTCAGAGGCTTATTCTTTGGGTACTTGAGGCTCCAGGCCATAACTATATTTCTTTCCCCTGGTTATCTCTCAACCTGCCTCTGTTTCCAGACATAAAATCAAAGTTTAGAGACCTTAGGGACATTGCTGTGGCTTAAATGTATGTGTGTCTCCAAAATTCCTATGTTGGAACTTACCCCTTGAGGTGGTGATATTAAGAGGAGGGGGTTTGGGGTGTGATAAGGCCCGAATGATTGGGGTGGGATTAGAGCCCTTACAAAAGGGCTCAAGGAGAGAATTCACCCCTTCTGCACTTCTGACTCTTCCGCCATGTTTGGACACAGTGCTCATTCATTGTGCCCTTCTACCTTCCTCCCTGTGAGGACACAGTAACAAAGCGCCCTCTTGGAAGCAGAGAACAATCCTCCCTGGACACTGAGTCCCCTGGTGGCTCAATCTTGAACTTCCCAGCCTGTAGAACTGTAAGAAAGAAATTTCTGCTGTTTATAAATTACTCAGTGCAAGGTATTTCATTACAGCAGCAGAGGTGGACTAAGACAGACATTATACTCCCCAGATTTCTGGCTTTCATTTGATTAACAGCTATAGCTTGATTGTTGTCATGCTAGGAACTGAGTCTTTCTCATAGTTGCATGTCATTCTGAGGTTCCTTTCTAAGTGGCATCCCTTGGGGATTTTCACGTTATTCTAAGTGGAAAACCACACAGCCAAGGAGACAATGCAGGACAACCTGAGGACCCCAAAGCCACCTCCACAGTGCAGGGTGGATCCTTTTGTGTCCCTGGTGACATTTCATGACATGGCCTGGTGACCACAGAGAAAATTCACGTAGGAAGCCCCTGCCTTGAGCTAGGGAACTTTTTGTTTTAACAAAAGCCAAGGCCTTCCTGGAATTTTCTTTCAAAGACCCGGCACATAACCCTGCTTTACCTCTGCTGGGATGTTTGGAATTGACAACCCTCAAGCTCTCTTTTAACCAAAAACACCACCGTTATTGGTGGGTGAGGCAGAATTAATAAACACAAGGAGGGCATTGCAAATGACTTTTGAAATAGCAGGAAAATTCCTTTTATTTTGTCATTTTTATGGAAAGGTCAAATAATTGAAAAAATGTCCTCAATGAGGAGTTATACTTAGGGTTTATAAAAAAGCACACTTTGTTGATAAAATATGAACTGTTTGAAAGATTTATAAGAGTCTAAAATCCTGTACAGCCCTTCAGAACTTGAAGCAGCAGGAAGCCACTGTGATATTTTTAAAACAAGTATTTATAAAAGTAATTGGGTACTCTTGATGTGGAATAAGGAGGGGGGAAAACTGCTAAGGAAGCTATATTGGACTTGACATAAAAGTGAGGTATGTAATTTGGGAGCAGAGTGAAGGGCGAGGAACGAGTACACACAGTACCTGGGGCCTTTTTCCCTCTGCAGAGCTGGAGGCAGGAACCGAAAGCCACCGGCCACTGGCCTTCATTGCCACCTCCCCTGGTGCTGGGAGGGAGGGAGGGCAGCTTGGAGGCCTGCGGGCAGTGCCCAGGTGTCGCAGCTAATTTCTGAACCCCCTGTTTAAGACTCCAAGGTCCTCTCAAACTGATTACATGCAAACAGGACAGAAAACACATGGTTCTGAGAACATTTTGGTTAAAATTAAAAATGTGGCAGAGACTGTGCCAATAATTTACTTGAGAATATCCAAACCAGATGTTGCTAGCCCATAATTCCGAGTAATTTGCCAAAATTATGTATTTACTTTAATCCCAGAAATGAAGTTAAAATATGCATGGTGTTTGTTATTTGTGAAGCTGAAAAAAAAAGTCCAGTGTAACCTGGGCTAATACTAGAGGAGAACAAGAAATAGTCAGGATGTCTATTAGCTGGTACTCAAACATGCACAGAGTTGACCAAAAGACGATTGGCTACAGATGCTTAAAGAATAAAATATCCTAGGAGGTTAAGCAAACATCATCGGGTAGGATGTTAATTCATGAAATGACAACCTTGAATTAAGACAGTGTGTCTACTGGTGACAGAGTTCTAATTCCTGAGTGGCTCCCACTCATGGGCACATCATCTTGTTTATGTGATGCCAAACATTTGGATGAAAATGGAAAAATAAATTCAGTCAGCTGCCTGGATTTCTGTTCTCTGTGGAGCCAAATAATAGAATTGCAGGGCTAGCTTGTCAGTAGACCATGTTTTGTTCTGATTTAGATGTTTAGCATCTAACTAGAGGCAATTTAGTGTAGTACAGAAACACACAGGCTTTTGAGTTAGCCTGCATAGGTTCAAGTCCCATCTCTGCCTGATACTAGCTGTGTTGGGACTATGTTGGGGTAGTTATTTAAATTTCCTGATCTTAGTTTTCTCATCTGTAATATGGGCATAATAACAGCTCGTAGGGTTATTGCGAGGACCAATGAGTTAATATGTGAACACAGTAAATGTGCTCCATAAATGTCCCTTATCTTCGTTCTTCATGGTCTTTGAAACCTAGGGCAGGGTGATCCAAGCATTAATGCCCTTGGTTTTATTTTTATTTTGTTGGGGTAAAATATATGTAACATAAAATTTACCATCTTAACCACTTTTGAGGTGTATAGTTTGGAGGCATTAAGTACGTTCTTATTGCTGTGCAACCATCATTACCATCTACGCCCAGAAGAGAACTGCCTCTGGGATCCACAGCTGGCTGTCCTCAGCTTCAGCTTGGCCCACATTCCCCCTCACCTGAAATAATACAGTGGCCTGGTGGCTGCGCTTTCTGCTCCCCTCTAATCTACATGTGTTTCTAGCTGAGTCCTGTGTAGACCAATCCTTCTAAAATGCAATTTCGTCTCTGTCGGCCCATGATTCTCCCCCACCCCCGATACCATCCCTACAGGCTGAAGCCTGGCCTGATTAGTGTGGCGTTTAAGGCATTCAGAGGCCTCAAGAAGGGTTTTGGGGTCTCTGAGTATACATTGCCTAAGGGATAAGCGATCCAGGAATCATGCCCATTTTACAGATGAGAAGTCAGGTGCTCCAGCCTGGGGTGCCAGCCCACTCACGATGGGGTGCTCTTTGGGGTCAGCCTTATTGTGTGTAACCTGAGGAGCACCAGGCTCCCGGCAGCTTTCCCCGTGTCTGGATACCTGCCTGAGAAACAGTGCTAGCAGTGGGAGTGGCTGTAGGAGATCTGTGTTCTCATTCTGTCTCTACCCCTGCTCAGTGGCAGGCCTAACCCCCCTGGGCTGCCAACTGGCATCTCTGAGATGAGATACATGAGATGCAGCTTTGGTTTCTGCCACAGGGGATGAGGCCTGTGGGCTGAGGACTGCCTGGCTCAGAACGGTGGAGGGAGAAGGTCAAGAGGAGGAGGGGAGCCATCAGAGCTAACTGCCCGTCACCTGCTTGCCTTCAGAAGATGTGCCTTCCGGGACCTGGTGGAGAGCAGATGCCAGTGAGGTGCCTGTGGAGAGAAGGAAGCGTTTTCATGTTCAGCCACACTTCTGCGGTCATGCAATTGGGTATGGCGCTTTCTTTCCTTGGTCTCTATTAATCAGCAGCCTCGCAGCCCGTTGTGCCTCTTATCACTTTATACCATTTGTTCTTATTCTGCAGCTGAAAATTGTGAGGAGTGGACACCTTTCTTTGGGGTTATTTAAAAATAACCTAAATGATCCTTGATTTGTTCTGTATTTCTTATACTATTCTTCATTGCTTTGGAGACCATCCCAGGGTTTTGTGGCTTAAAAACCTGGAAAAGGACAGCCTCGGGTGGGGTGTAACTGAGGTCAGTTGTGCCCCTGAATCTGAGGAGAAGGTGCTTTTTAGGGCTTGTCCCCTTTGACCTGATTCCCAAGTGATTACACTCTCAGTGAGTTCAGCCTCTTGCAAGCCACTGGCGGAAGTGCTTTGCTTGTTGCTTAAAGTACTTTCCACACAATATTCTTTGAGGTTACTCATGCTGTTAGGACTACACAAGGAAGAGCACTGCTTGCTAAGACATTTCTATGGGGTTTTGTTTTCTTGTAGTTTGGCTGGTTGCAAGAAAACCTCAGTAAGTGGGATGCCTTCCCAGGGGGGTCATGAATGGTATCATCTGAGGGACAGACCTGAGCATGGGGCTACTGTCTTAGCAGGGAGTGGCTAGCCTGAATACATGAGTTGTCTTTCTGTGCCTGGCCTATGTCACTTAACTTAATGTCTTCCAGGCTCATCTATGTTGCAGTGAATGACAGGATGACTTCATTCTTTTTTATGGCTGAGTAATATTCCCCCATGTGTATATATACCATATTTTCTTTATTGGACACTTAGTTTCATTCCATATCTCAGCTATTGGGAATGAGGCTGCAGTAAGCATAGGGCACAGGCCACTTTTACTTATATCTGGAAGCTAGAAAGCTGGACCTCAAAAGTGAAGAGTAGAGTTGTGGTTACCAGGGACTGGGGAGGTAGAGAGGAGAAGAAGTTAAAGAGATGTTGGTTTACAGGGACAAAATTATAGCCACATAGGAGGAATATGTTCTAGCACTCTCTTGCACAGTAGAATGACTGTGGTTAACAGTAATTTACTGTATTTTTCTCAATAGCTAGAAGAAGGGAGTTTGAATGTTCCCAACATAAAGAAATAATCAGTGTTTGGGGTGGTGGAAATGCTAGTGACCCTGACTGACCATCACACACTGTATGTAGGTGTGACAGTATCACTCTGTACCCAATAAAATGTATACTTACGTATCAATTTTTGTTTCTTTTTTTTTTTTTTTTCTGTGACCCTGGGGATGGAACCTAGGACCTCAAGCATGCTAGGCAAGTCCACTACTGCTGAGCTGCACCTCCAAGCCCTATGTATCAATTGAAAAAAAAGAACGAGTGGGTTAAATTTGATAGCTGATCAGAAGGAGTTGGAGATGAGGCGCCTCTCTCAGTGCAGGCTGTGCAGGCTGTGTGGGGCTGCCTGGGGACAGATGTCATGGCCCATGCATCTGCAGTGAGAGGGGAATAAGCACGCTTTCTTCTTGGTCTCTGAGGAACGTGTGAAAGGCAAGTTGTCCGACCAAGAGTGGCCACTAACTGCGCCCCTGGCGATTGCATCCATGGCCCAGCCACAGCCCTGCTTGCTGTCAGTTAGTCAACAACTCAGACTGAGCCCCTCTGTCTGCAGGGCCCCATGGGCTCATGGCAGGGCGGAGAAGGAGACATCTGCTGTCACTTCCAGCATGGGGCTGAGGGCCGGCTCCCTGGAGGTTGTTTATTTCTGCTGAGGAATTTTTCTGGCAGTGAAGCCAGGTTGCCTCTGGGAAAACATGAATATTTGGGGATGGTCAGCACAGTCAGGCTTCCTATGGGTGTGGCCATTCATCACGCCTGCACCCAAATGCACACATGTGCACACATACACGCACACACAGCATGGACCCATAGCCCTGGGATGCACGTACTCATATGCACACATGTCTAGTCACTCACGAGCCTGCATATGTGCACAAATGCTCATGCACACAAGTAGGAGAACACACATACACACACATGCACACACACAGACATATATACCACCTAGTTCCTGTGCTAAGCAGGCGAGCATAAACATTAAATGACACCCTACTTATAAAAACAATGAACCTAGCAGCAATTCATAAAATAAATGCCAACATAATCCTTATACTTTTCTTTCTACTTCCTCTTAATATCTTTCCATCTTTTTCTAACCCTACTTGTTCTGCTTTAAGGAGAGAGGCCAATACTTCTTCTCACTCTGACTTTGGCATTGAAAACTTCCCTTGAGTCTTATTCCTGGCTCTCTGACCTGAACAAAAGCTCTTGCTCTTTCCTTTCGGGGGGTGATGGTGCTGTCTTTTAATGGTGAAAGTTGAGGCATCTGGAATCAGGCTGTCTGGGTTCACAGGCCACTGGCCCATATTTACTGGCAGTATGACCTGGGGCAAGTTGCTATTTGTGGCTCAGTTTTCTTGTCTGCAAAATGGGAATAGCATTAGCTCTGTGTTTCTGGCCCCTCTCTGGAAGATTCTTGGACCTTCACTCTCTGTGCTTGTTTCACCTCTGCAGAGTTTGTGTGTGGGGAAAAAGCTTCTTTCTTCATGTGAGCTGGGCAAAAGGAGCCAGCATGACAAGACACTGGTTCCCTAGTTCTTTTCTTCCATCCAGTGGCTTCTGTTTGCTTTGGTTTTTACCCTTTGGAGTTATGGTTGGGATTATTCCTAATTTGCAGCACATGGTTCCTTAGCAACCCTCACTAATATAGGATTAGGTACAAAAATACTTTTGGTTAGAATTTCAAACATCTTAATTTATTATAGACCACTGGTTTAAAAAATACTCTTATTTCCTCTTCCTTATTTCAGAAGTAATGCAAATTAGTTGTAAAATATTTAGAATACTCAGACAATCAGAAAGAATGAAAACCAGCCTTCTGTCAGCATCTTGGTGTATATTCTTCTAGTTTAAAAATGTATCTACATATATATTGGTACAAGATGGGTACTGTTCTACACATCCTTTTTGTAAACGTCTTTCCTCTCATTTCCTGATGCCCATCTGTTCATGGTGTTTTAAAATGATTTTTAAAAGAATATAATGCTTCAAATCGGATAAAATGTGGCTTCTCCAGAAAAAAAACCAACACCGTACCTGGCTCTAGGTAGACTGTGTGCAGTCTCAGGGGTGACAATGTGAGGGGTGAGGGCTGAGGTGGATCAATGGCATTGGTGCAGGGGTTGCCCCAGTGAAGCACTTCTGTCCCAAGGGCCCTGCCTGGGCTGGAGTGGGGGAGGGTGCAGTCTGAACATGGTAGGAAAGCCCCTCCCAGTTGGCTTTCCTCTTGCAGCAAGAGATGGCTTTAGGCCCAGGTACAAAGGGGATGGATGGACAGTCTGCTACCACTGCATTCATTGACACTGGGGTAGTTACAGTGAAATGTGAACTCCTTGAGGTCTGGGCATGGGGTAGGGGATTGAGAGCTCACAGATGCTGGAGCTGAACTATCTGAGTTGAAGGCTCACTACTCCTGCTTGGAGCTTTGTGACTGCTATGGTTTGAGTGTGTCTCCCTGTGTTAGCCAGCTTTTTGTCACTGTAACAAAATGCCTGAGACAAGCAACTTATAAAGAGAGAAAGTTAACTCTGGCTTATGATTTCCAAGGTTCCAGGCTGTGGTTAGTTGGCTTTCATGTCTTTGAGCCTGTAGCAAGGCAACACATCATGGCAGGGAGTACATGGTGGAGGAAAGCTGCACACCTCATAGCTAGGAAGCGAGAGAGAGAGAGAGAGAGAGAGAGAGAGAGAGAGAGAGAGAGAGAGAAAGAAGAAGCTAGATTCCCAATGCTTTCTTCCAAGACACATGCCCTATGATGAGAAGATCTCCCACTAGGCCCCATCCCTTAAAGTTTCCACCACCTTCCAATAAGGCCAAGCTGTGGTCCAAACCTTGAACACATGGGCCTTTGGGGGACATTCCAGATGCATACTATACATACCATAGCATGCTCCAAGTTCAGGTGTTGGAAACTTAATCTTCAGATTCATAGGTTGATGGTCGGCCCGTTAGGATGCAAGATTAGATGAGATCATGATGATGAGGAAGAGACCTGAGCCAGCACACTTGCTTTATCTCCCCATGCGATGCCCTCTGTCATGGCACCATGCAGCAAGAAGGCTGGCACCTTAATACTAGATTTCCTGGCCTCCAGAACCATGAGATATATACTTCTTTATAAATTTCCCAGTGTTAGGTATTTTGTTGTAGCAACAGAAGACAGACCAAGACAGTGTTGTTGACCAAATAACTTATTTTGCTCAGTGCCTCAGTTTCCTTATTATGAATTAGAGATTGGAATTGTGTCTATCTCATAATGTATTTATATGGATTAAATCAATATACATGTACCAAACACTTGGAACTCTATTATGAGTATAGCATGAGCTTTCATTAGTTATTTATGCTTTAGGTTAGTGGTTTTTCATCTTGGTTACACATTAGAGTCAGCTAGGGAGCTTCAGAGACTCCTGAAGCCTGCTCCCCACCTGAACCAACTGAATCAGAGCCTCTGCCTGGGTGGGCATGGGCTGAAAAAGTGCTTTTTTTGGAATTGGGGATTGAACCTAGGGCCTTTGCACTAAGCTATATGTCTAGCCCTTTTTATTTTTTTTATTTTGAGACAGGGTCTTGCTAGGTTTCCTAGGGTGGACTTGGAACTCTTGATCCTCCTACTTCAGCCTCCCAGAGTGCTAGGGTTACAGATGTGTGCCACCACACCTGATGGCTTTTGGTTTTTAAAAGCTCCCAAGTGATTCTCATGTGCAGGCGAGGCTGAGAACCATTTATTTGTACCCAGCAGAAGAACACATCAGTTCCTCACTCTGCCAGGACAAGGTCAGGTACTTGAGAGTTACCCATGGTGAGATGAGGATTTGTCCTGGCAGCTCAGAGCTATGCTGTGTGTTGATCTCTGAATTGACCTCAGTGCTTGGAATTACCTGGGGGAGGTGAGCAGAAGGACAGATTC